GGCTGGGAAAAGAAAAGTAATTGTGTGTGTGTGCTCGTTTTCTCGCCGCCAGCTGGGCCCCACTTCATTCATGCCGACCGCTGCGGAGCTGCTACGAGGTTTCTCTTCTAAACGGCTAATTGATCGTTGGTCGCCAAGGGCGGGTGTTAGACCGCGCCGTTAGGTGGATGAGCTCATAGGGTAGCCAATCAGGTCTCATAAATCCTTGACTCACCTTCAGCAGCCTGAAGATGATGCCTGTGAATTTATATGGGAAAGGAAGATGGAGAGATCAAATCGTTGGTTCCTTTCCACTGCACATCATAGGAGAAACAGCAATTACTACTCCTACATACTGTCTCTGTTTGCATAACATATTTGTCTATGTTAAGTTAGCCATGTGTCACCCAGTTTTTCAGGGCTCATAGGAAATATATATGTGCATAACCATATAGGTAGGATTGTACAACATACTGAGGAAAATGTAGTTATGTTTGAGAGTGTTCCAATGTAGCCACTGAGATTGTATCTATCCACCTTGGCCAGGAAGGGAGCTTAGTGCTGCGAGATCTAGGCTGCAAAAAATCCAGACAGCCACTAGATGACTGCAGAGATGCAGAAAATGCTAACCCTTTGCAGCCACCTAGTATTTATCTGGTAATGACCCCCCACTGTGTTAATGATCTTTACACCTTTAGGAAATTCTTGCAGTTTTTAGGAATAGGGAAAATTAATATTGTAAACCACCCAGAGAGCTTCAGCTATTGGGTATTTTTCTTTTTTTTAAGTCATACCGTCTTGTTTACCAACAGCCTAACTTTTAAGCATTTTCTATAAAGCATTGAGACAGCCAAACTGAGAATGTTAGATTGTTTGAGTAGATGGGTGAGACAATCACAGCTAGGCTTTCTGATAGTGACTGGGTTCACATGACACACTAGGCCATAATTGCTTGTGTATGAGTTGGTATGTTATTTGATCCCACGTTAACAGAAAAAAATATTTTCTTGGAACAACGCTCTCCCATCTCTGTCTTTCTTTTGTCAATGTATGTGAACAAAGGTTATGCATCCTCTATGGCTATTATTGTTAAATTAAAAAAAACCAGATAAGACATTTGCTTTCATTATCACCTCTATCTGCAGGATATGGTAAAAAAAGTCACATTGGCAGCCATGACACCCAAAAAATAGGTGGAGTTTCAATCTCACTGTCGCTGCCACCATCTTGACTTTTTTGACCATGCCCTCCAGACACCCCTAACCTCCATTGTGGCCTTCCCTCTATTCTGGAGCTTCCTAGGCCTTGCAATTGGGAGCTAAGCTACAAAGATGCAGAGGATCCAAAAATAGTGCTTTTTTTTTTTTTTAAACCTTCAAGGCAATTGTGTGCCTTGTGTGGGTGTATGAAAATTTAATGTTTTATTGTGAGAAAGATTCCTATTTTTTATCAGCTAATTTGTGGGTAGACATTCAGCAAATGCTTCTTTTCTTGGCACTGAAATTTGAGAAGCTGTTATCTGGCTGGTGAAGACACAAAAGTCTTGCCAGAAAAAAAGGTGAGCATGTGCATTTTAATCAAGACTGCTAAATTCATGTTGTGTTCTGTTAGGAAATATTGAAATGGCCATAAACAGACATTTACTCTTTTTGCCTCTTTCTCCATTCATTTTACTTGCAAATGGATACTAAGCATTTTACTTTCCAGTAGATTTAATATCCCACTTTTCTTATGGCTGCTTGCTGTGTGCCCTGACTTCAGCTTGCTTTTGTTTAGCAGGACAGGCCTTCTTGGTTTTAAGAAGGTTACTAGGACTCAACCCTGAGATAATAATATCAGTTCTAAATATAATTTCCTTGGCTTAGGATAATATCCTCCTGCTTATCTAGTTTTTCTGCTAATTCTGCAAGCTTTTTTGTGTGTGTGTGTGTGTGTGAACAGGTTGTCTCATTCTTTGTTTTTAATTGAATAATGAATAACAATAAGCTGAAGCCTCTTTCCTCTTGAAGAATTTATTAACATAAACTGGGGTTATTGCTAAAGTTGTAGAATATTTCTACTTAGCTTAATGCAGTGATTTATACAGGAAAAATTGTGCCATTGGCCAGATTCATGCAACAAGGCATAGTACATTTTGTCTGAATTTTGGCAAAGAACGCCACATAGAAGGAGTTCAGGACCTGTTCTCTCCTGTCCCGTACTGTGGAATAATGGCTTTAAAGTACAAAGCAGATTCTGATTGAATGTTAGAAAAAGCTTTCTAACAGTAAGAATAGTCTGACTGTGGAAACATGTGCCTAGGGAGGTGGTGGTCTCTCCTCAGATGTGTCAGGGATGTTTTAATATGGATTCCTGTAGTGAGCCGGAGCTTGGATTGGATAACCTAAATCAGTGTTTCTCAAAGTTCAGCAACTTTAAGGCTGGGGAATTCTGGGAGTTGAAGTCCAAACATCTTAACATCTCTGAGATTGAGAAACACTGTCCTAAATGGTCCCTACCAACCCTATAATTCTTTGATTCCCAATCCAGTCATTGAGCTAAAAAGGACTTCTAGTTCTATCTTTAGTGCCACCTCCTACTATCAATGCTATTTGTACCTTCAGTTTTACCATCTGAAACAAGGATACATTACTTGGTCAAACCATGTGCAGAGATATTTCAGCCAGGATATGGGTCACCTTCCAGTACTATATTTCCTTGGCAGCATTCCTTGCATAATTCATTGAAGTAGCTGGTATTTCTCGTTGTGTATCATCTGACCTCAGTGTTCCAATTGTCCTTTCTTGATGATATTCACACTTTCCCTATCTTTGCCTATGCTTTGGAGGACTGACTGCCTCATTTTGTGCACACTCATTCCATGATATTCTGTAAAGCCACATTCCAAAGGTTTCTATTCTCCTGTTTGTGATTTGGCTCCTACAAAAGAACTGGCAAGACATAACAGCATATAATCTACCAACAAAATTCCAATCTTAAGTCTTGACAGCAAACGAGTTACTTATTTTTCAATAAGCTACTCTCACCTGTTCAGCCCTGCTCTTTATTTCCATGCTGTGATCCCATCTGTCATTCAGAATACAGCCCAGGAATTTATTACATCTCACCCCCTCAAGTTGTTGTTCTGCTTGTATAATAGTTGGTTGAGGGATCTTCTTTTTATTGTTAACCATTATTTTTGTTTTGCTCTGTTTTGTATTTAGTCTGCAAGATATACTTGACTGATATACTTGGCTGAGTAAGCTTTGTAAACCTTGCTCTCTATTTACTAAATAGAACAATATTATCTGAATAAAATAGGTTTATAATTGGGCTATTAAAGTTTATACCTTCTTACCATTCTTCTAAATATTCATTGGAAACAGCTTCTGAAAGTATACTGAAGTGCAAGGGTGGTAATGCACAGCCTTGTTGCATTCCACGCAATATTTGAAATTATTTTGCTTTTCCTTCTACCTTAACAGGTGCTGGCTGCTTCCAATATAAATTCATCATAATGCATACGGCTCTGTTATCTAAGCTTATTGTTTTCAATATGCCAAGCAATTCCCATGTTTCCCTTGATCAAATGCCTTTTTATAATCAAGAAAACTTGCCTAAACATCCACATTCACATTTCAACTACCTTCTGTGTATTAAAAAAAGGATTCCTGAATCCAAAGTACACCTGGAACACCTTTGTATTTCCAATAAATCCTGGTACTGTAATTTGGAAATTAGACTAAACTCTGTTTCCAACTGAATATGATTAGGTTTGACCATCTTTACACCAAATAGCAAAAATAACTAGTTGTAAACTTGCAGGATGAGGCATGTAAAGACAAAACCAGTTGTGGCTTTTAAAAGAAAAGAAAAGCAGAAAAGTTGGACTGTAAGCACAGCATAGGAGAATAAGTCTCCATGTATTTGCAGGGGGTGAAAAAGTCATACTCAGTGTCTACTGATCCCACCCTGCCCCAAGCAACTTTGCAATTCCTTCTCAACTGGTGAAAGGTTCCTTCCTTCCTTCCTTCCTTGCTAAAATAATATAAAAATACATATGCAGAACTTTAAATCAGAAAGGGTGTACATTTCCTGCTGAAACCAAATCAGGGGCAAAACTAGTACTATATCAAACTTGGATTCGCTAGTGTGGTTATTCTTATCCAGTCCAAAATTCTCTCTCCCAGTGTTTGCTTTTCATGTGTGTGTATGTGAAAGAAAAAGACCACCTGAGGGGCTGTTTTTGCCTTTTAACTAGCGCAGACCAAAACTGCTGTGGAGTGATACAGTTTCAGGAACCGGTTGAAAAATGGACACCTCTATAATTTAGTTGCATATTTGACATAAGCAGATGTGCTCCAACCAAACATTGAAATCAAATGCATCAGAAGTGCACCAGTTGGGGGAAACTTGATCAGAATGCCCATGAAAATATATGAAAAGAAATGTGTGTGTTTGTGTGTGTGTGCGCATATGTATATGTCTAAATGTATACAGCTGAGTAGGGATGTCTGGGGGAGTCAAAAAAATCAAGATAGTAACTGTAACCATGCAAAGTCTGACCTGCTTTTACAGTTGCAGCTGATGTCCCCTGCAACTGAGTGTAACTTGTACTGTAATAGTTACATTTTACCTTCTCAGTTTCCTAATGCTTTTTTTTTTTAATCTTTGGAAGTATATTGAAGGTTTCCTTGTCATCTCGCTCTCCTGAGTTCTATTCCAACTGCATCCTCAACAGTATATACTATTTGTGCCTTGCAAACTCTACTGTTATAAATTCCTCCCCAGAAAATGTTTCCTGTTTTATGTTTCTACAACTTCCTGCTACTAAGCTGTGTTTTGCAATGATATGAAGTAGCAAAGGCTGAGGAAAAAGGAAGATAAAATAAACTACTGTGGGCAAAAAGTTCCAGTTCATTTTGCCAGGCAGTTTTATGCTGGGAGATTTGTTGGCTTTGAGGTCCTCTGTCAGGTTCTTTCATCAGAAATAATAGTTGCCTCCAAGGGCTTGAACAAAGCTTGAAACCACTAATTCTGTCTGGAAAACAAGGCAAGTGTGAGGTTGATAAGCTTGATGGAATAGTTTTAGAGACATCACTTCTTATGGTGTAGGTCCTACCTCTGGTCAAACAGGCATCAGAAACCAACCATTGACTAGAGGTAAAATGAAGCCACCTAGCTCAACAGGGTTGGTTTTTAGGTAAAGAAAAGCAGTTCAACAAGACAACCATGCCAGGTCCTCTCTCAAATTGCTTCTGCTTTCTAAAAACAACAGCACTGGAATCATTTATCCCCATTTGTGGTCAATCTTTGTGCAAGAGGGATAGGAGGCAGAGGGAAGCTGACTGTTTGTTTCTCTCTTCCCTGTACAGGGTGATAAATGCTGGTAAGAGCCAGCATAATGAGGATCAAGCTTGCTGTGAAGCCGTCTTTGTGGAAAGAAGAGACAACTTGAGAAATAACCCAGGCCCCAAGGAAATTGCTGAAGAGTCAGAAGTGAGTGGTGAGCAATTGGATGGTCAGAGCTTCTTCCATGGCTGTGTCCCTACATAGTCTCAACCCATAATGTGGTTTATTTGATTTTGGTTTACTATGTTGTATGAACCCAGCTGTTGTGATTTATAAACCATAGATTTTGGCTTTGCAGTTAGAAACTAGTTTATTATGGATTATTCAACAAATCATGTTTAAACAAACCATTGTTTAATGTATGTAAATTCTGTGTTCTAACCTAGCTAATGACTTAAACCATGGTTAAATCATAGCTTACCACACTATGTGAACTTATTCTGGATTTGGAGTAGGACTGTTTGAGACCCCAGATGCTGATTATTAGTGATGGCCACACAAGATAGTAACTGCTTCACAGATCTCACCCAATTGGCTATCACTGGTTACTTGGAAAAGTGGAATTGTGAAGCAGTGAGTTCAACAAACTTTCCCATCCACCATAGTCACAGGAATTATTGCAGCAGGCATTTAAAATGCCAGCTTTTAAAAAAGCCTTTAAAGCAGACATAATGCCTGTAGGCTATGTGGGCACTGGGTGACTAAGATTCCTATTGCTCAAGGGCAAAAACTTCACCTTGCTACTTCATCACCTTTCCTGCCCTTTCTTCTCCAATTGCAGCAGAATAAAAACCAGGAATTAAGATATCCTTGAACTGGTAGCAGTTTGGTTAAATTGATCCCTGGCTAAGAAGGTGCTGAATGTTGCTTCAACCATGAACTGCAAAGCTTGCAGAATTTCACCATAGTGCTGTTTCATCTGTTTCACTTTTTTTTTTACTTGAGTTTCCTTTCTTTTGGCATCACTTCAGAATAATTCTGTTCTCCTTTGTCCCTGCAGGGCAGCAAAGGCCTGTACTTTTACTACTGGGGCTTGTTTGATGGACATGCTGGGAGTGGAGCTGCAATCATGGCATCCAAACTGCTTCATTTCCATATTCGTGACCAACTCCGAGACTTGGTAGACATCATACAAGATTCCTCTCCTCCACCAATTTGCCTGCAAGAGGGACCCAGGACAGTTCTCATAGACCCAAACAAGGCTCCTCTGGCAGAAGAAGATGCAGAGGTCCCAAACAATGCCTTGCCACGCTTCCATATGGAAAAGGTGGTTTCCCATGAAAGTTTGGTAGTGGGAGCCATTGAAAATGCATTCAAGCAGATGGTAAGTAAACAGGACAAAAATGGGCTGGAGAAGGCAGGCTGCTGCAATGGTACAGAATTACAATCAATTTCCTGGCTTGGCACAAGCTTTGGAATACATGTGAGCTGTGTACTAGGTATGTGGTATCTTAGTCTGGGGTAGCGCTTCCTTGTAATTCATGCCTGGTTCTATATCAGAAGCGGAGTGAAATGGATATGTTGTGTTTGGAGATGGGAGAGCCAGGGTGAACAAACAAACAAACAAACAAAATCTGCTTGACCTTGCAAGCAGGCAAAGGGCCTTGGGGGGTGTTATTTATGATGTAGCCTGTCTCATAGATTTAAACAGGTGAAGGATACTGTAGATCTGATCCTCACCAGGAATCATCTAAGCTAAAGAATCAAATAAACCCAATTAAACTAGTAACAGTTCTATATCAGCATCCATAGCCACTGGCATGACATGACATGTAAGTTGCAGGTCAGGGATCTGTTCCAATCCTGCCTGGCTATCTTCCATCCAGAATATGCATTCACTTCCTTTTGCAGTTAAGACACTGACATGGTGACCCATGACTATTTTTGGCTGACTACTGTAAGTATTTGCTTACCTAGCTGCAGATCATGAGCCTGTCCTGGTTGGCTGTTTTTCTGTAGCTCAGCTTGATCTTGTCTCTGCTGCTGCTCAGGGGAATAAAATACACAGAAAAGACACCCTGTCAACATATAGCCCTCATACCAATTTAATTGTCATTGGCTTCCCCAATGAATCTTGCAAACTATAACTTAGTAGAGGTATTGAAAATGTTATTAGCTATTCCCTACCTTTTCATAAAATTATAGAGACATATATTTACTTTCAAATCAATTTATCATGATGTGGCTAGAGTAGTTTTTTTTTATTTTTATTTTATTTTAATTTAATTTAATTTAATTTTTTTATACATCAAATTTGTCACCGCCCATCTCGTTAAAAAGTGACTCTGGGCGGTTTACAGAAGAGATAGCTGATATTTTTCTTTTGTTTTATTTGTCTCCTTAGATATTTGAACTGTGCTCACTAATAGGCTTTCTTTTGATTAGTATTGTCTCCCTTCTTTCACAAATTTCAAGCCAGATTAAGTTAGCAATTAACTTAGCCCTTTGGCAAATAGACAAGGATAGTCATAGTCATTGATTAACCACCACTGCAAAGGTATCAACCCAACAAATGCACCACAGATGATAGTAAAACACAGCCACCCATGATTTGCCCCAAAGCTTGGGGTATCCCAATTAAAGTCATCCTCTTTCCCCCCCCCACCCAAAACAAAATCATTCTGCATCTGTGTGGATGGGGAAAAAAAGAGTGGAAATGTTGCTGCAAGAACAGCTCCTATTTGTAACTCTTTTTGCATACCATTTCATTTTCCTGGAGGACTAATGGCTGCTTAACTGCCCACTAATCATTTGTCCAGTTTTGGAAACCATATAAACCCATAGTTGATACTGTTTAACAAGAACAAAGCGTGGTTACTGATTGTGATTGAGGACCTCTGCTCTAATCACAGAATCACCTCATCTGGGGTATATGGACTCATGATGAATCAAATCCCAGTATGGCATAGTGTGAACACAGCCTTTGTTTCGGTGTCATTTCTCTACATAAGATTGACTTTTGGTGTATGAAACAGGATTTTGTCAATGCATAAAGTTACAATTGTATGATCTGAGGGCGATGTGTAAATGACCATCTTGTTTCTGAAACTCTGTTTTTTATGTATCTGTTTCCTGATTGTGGTCCTGGGGACGTTCTAGTTTATTAATGCAGGAAGGTAAGCAAGCTCTGTGGTTGCATACAGTACAGTTCTGTCTTCTTTTCTGATAAGACAGCTCATGTTTCACCTGTAAATTTGTTTTTCTGTCTTTTCAGGACAATCAGATTGAGCAAGAACGGGTGACCAGGCAGGCATCAGGAGGCTGCTGTGCCCTGGCTGTGGTTTATCTTCTGGGGAAGTTTTATGTGGCCAATGCTGGTGATAGTAGGTAAGTGGGTTGGGGAGTGTTTTTGGTTCCCTGTCAGAACTGTCCAAAACATGTATTCACTGCAAAGATGAAATTTCTTCACTGCCTGCTGGAATTTAATCAGAGCTTTTCTGCTTAAGCTCAATAATTTTAAGGTTTTCCCTATAATTTGTTCAGGATTTCAACAACAGTTTAAATCTTTTGTCTTTCCTCTATTCATCCACCATTAAATCCACACACAAAATCCTTAAGAGAAAGAGTGTGTATTAAAGACAGGTATATAACTAAGGAGACCCAGTTTGGTGTAGTGGTTAAGGTATCAGGCTAGAAACTGAGAGACTATCAGTTCTTGTCCTGCCTTAGACATGAAGCCACCTGGGTGACCTTGGGTCAGTCACTCTCTCTCAGTCCTTGGAAGAAGTCAATGGCAAGCCACCTCTGAAAGTCTTGCCAAGAAAACTGCTGGGACTAGTCCAAGCAGAGGCAGACATGTAGATATATGATGTTGTGTTGCTAATGACAGCTATGCAGGATCAGAAAATCAAATATTTGCTTTAAGGGAATGGTCTGAAGGTATGTGATGTTGCCATATTGTTAAAGCTAAACAGAACTAAGTTTGATCAGTATGTGGATGGGAAGCCATTAGGAATCCAATAGCTTCCTTGAATATTATAGTAGAAAAGTGGGCTATGGATATAATAAATTAATAAAACTTGTGCTGAATAGAGGTGGTAGTACTTACTATTAACCAAGGAGTCAAATGAGCTCTGTTCAGAAGGATAGTGTGGTGGTACCAGTGATGGACCCCGCTTAAGATCTGACTATGACACATTTGTGGATCCCAACCAAGTGAGAGGCATACATGATTTTAACTTGTATTTTGTTTTTTGAATATTAAGACAGAAAAAAATTAAATATTGATAAATATAAATACAGTTGTTCTTGCAACATCCTGAGGTAAAGTACAAAGAGGGGAATTCGATCTTAAATTGGGATCATTCATTTGGAGTTCCAGATTATATTAAAACCTATGCCTAGGTTCTTTGTAACAACCTGGGATGGGGGAGTCGTGTCATTACTCCTTCTGTTGTTGAGATCTTTCACAAGTAAGGATGATTAAAGAATAATCATTAAAGTTATTTTAGTCTTTATTGCAGATACTGCCTTAATACAGTGCCTATTGTTTTAACTGTTTTTAGTAATTCAGTCCTAAATCTAGGGTATTACTATTTTTAGGTATCAAATAATAATTTAAGTGCTTGTTAAATGTCTTTTACTGACTTAAAATGTTTAGATTTTTGGATTATCAATTAATCAAAATGAAGCATTGATGCTACTGTAATTAGGATAAGGATTCTGGAATAGTTTTGGAATTAATTAATAGAAGCTTTGTTTCCCCATTGAGTCTTATATTCTGCATCCAAAGTTCTTGGTTAGTCTGCTTTGGGGTTTTGAATTGGAAAAAACAATACCTTCTTCTGTGTGCCAAAGTGATAACTTCCAGGTGTACTGTATACATTACTAGCTGGGGATGATGGGAGTTACAAGTACAGTATCATTTGGCGAAGGCTACAAAAGTGAATAACAAGATAGAGAAAAATGCACTGGTGCTATTCCTCATTCATTGCGATGAGTAGAGCTTGTACTAATAGGGAGCAGTAAACACACACCTTTGACAAGTTCTTTTTTCAAGATTTCAGTGAGATGCAAATTTTTCATCAAGTCAGAATAATTAATAAGAACTTGTTTTAATTGTTGAATGGAATCAGGCTTTTAAAGGTCATAATCAAATGTGGAAACTTTGGTAGTTTAAGATGAAGACCTCCAACCCAAGAAGCACAGTACAATTCTGTAACCAGTATTGTATGAAACCATAATTTTGTTTAATTGTTTTTGGCTTGGTCATTATGTGTGAGAGATAATTGTACTTAGTAAAGAATGGTTTATAGCTGAGCACAGGGCTTGGCAACCTTTTTAGATGCTAGATTCCAATATGTAATATTACCAAAAGATAAAAATAAAACCCCTGTATGTGTGTATATTTGTGTGGATAATCATATTTTACATTATATGTTGATCAGAACATCTGAACATTTGGGTCTCCTAGAGTTTGCATGATGTGACCCATTATTCTGGCCATACTTTTCTTCTCATAGTCCCCCTCCATCCTTTCAGCACTATTTCTGAACCCTAGTTTCTTAGACTGATTTTCCTCCTCCTCTGCTTCCTTATCTGTCTGAACAAGGAACACCTTTCCTCTCAGAACAGGTAACTAACATTGCTTGGTAATTCAGCTTAATTGTTACTATAGAATATGAATAAGTTAAGTATGGCTGCTTTTCATTATGCTGTGTCAGTATTCCTTCTCTGGATTTTCTTTAGTCACACCTAAGATCTGTCCTATTCACTGAAACCTGGCATTAACCCAATAGGTATGTTAAAGAAACAGGCTACCTAGCATTTCCTTGACCTTTATAGTTTCTGAGCTAGCATATTGCACCAATATCAGTCAGAACCTATGTTATTAGATATATCTTCCATGCTAAGTGGGGAGAAAGTCTTTAATAACTATGTCTGGGGTCCCATCTGTGCACAGGCACAAGACTACTAGGATGGTATGTTCATATCTGCACTCATTTATGAGTCTTGTTGAAAGGACTTCAGGAAGTCACTTCAACATGCGTATAGAGTGATTTGGGGCATACAGTAATAAATATTTTAATCTACTTTCAGATTTTAGGAAGGGGCAGGAAAAATTTAAAATCTAGAAATAAAATAAGAGTGAAGCTACAGTAAACAATTTCATCCAGAAGAAGGGAAGGAAGGAAACTTTCATCAATAGATTTCTGGGCTTGCAGGTGTAACATAATGCTGTTATCCTCTTCCATCAACAAGAAACAGGCTTCACAGGCAAGGAAGCCTTAGAGCATCTGAAAACTTAGATCCCTGGCCATTACTTGCCCAGACGACATCCATATTTTTCTCCTTCCCAGAGATTCTCTCTCTGTATGGCAATGGTGGCATACCAAATGGTTCTTACCTAACCCTGCTTCTCTTTGCCCTCTTGTGTATCTGCTGCTTGCACTTCCTCTGCCATCTCCCTCTCTTTCTCTCTAATGTCATCATTGCATGTTTCATTGCAGGGCCATTGTCATCCGTAATGGGGAAATCATTCCAATGTCCAGGGAATTTACTCCAGAGACAGAGAGGCAAAGGCTACAGTTTTTAGTAAGAAAGAACTTTCTTTCTATCTGATATATTTTTAATCTATCACCACCACTACCACCACCAAACATTGCCAGGTATACCCTTGAGAAACAATTCTGTACAAACAGGATCATCAGAGCTCATAGTGGTTAACTGAAACAAGGTTTGCAAGGCAAAGCCAAACTGAACAACCAATGAAATGCAAACCCGTTTCATATGCCCAAGGTTATTGTGTTTGTGTTTCTTATATAACATTGTCTAGCATATACCATGGCCAATCACTTTTGAAGCTTAAGGGATTTTCAGAATCCATTTGGGATACGATATGGATGCATTTGTTGTATTAATTTATTTTATTTATGCAATTTCTATAGCTGCCCATCTCAGTCCAAATGACTGTAAAGAAATAGAAAGTCTGTCAACTGTACTATGAATCTGCCTCTACTATTTAATTTCCTTATTTAGCAGAGGTTTAAGACTACATACCAGAGCTATACATGCTCTTGTAACCTTATAAAGTATAAGAATTAGCAGCATCCACAGCAAACCACAGTGACTCCAAAATAATGACATGTACACAGTGAAAGCATCTTGTAAATGCTGCAGTTATATACTTGGCTCTTGACATATGATGACTCAAGTGCATAAGTTGTGACACTTGTGGGATAATGTTGTCATGTGTGTTTTTTTCACTTCCCCTCCTTGCCTCCCATGGATGCCCATAATAAGAATATTGTTTGTAATCATTGATTGCAAAAGAAAAGCTAAGTTTTAAAATAGAGTTCTAAAAACTCATGATTCAGCCAGTCTCAGAATACTCTGAAGAAATAGTTGAGATGTGGAAAGTATACTGTAATTATTGTAAAGTGGTGTTTCTCAATGTTGGCAACTGTAAGATGTGTGGACTTCAATTCCCAGAGTTCCCCAGCCAGCTGAGATTCTGGGAGTTTAAGTCCATGCATCTTAAATTTGCCAATGTTGAGAAACAGTGTTATAGAAGGAACATTCTAACATCAGTCTTCTTTTCCTATCCTATGTTGAAGACTCGTTGAGTCACAGCACTTAGAGAACAAACAAATATATCCAAAATAGTACTTAAGACATATAATAGCCTTCCTACTAAACAATGTAACACACCAGCACAGTCTAAGTATACAAGAGATTTTACAGATTTTACAATTAACTGAAGATTGTACCAATTGTCCTGCTGCTGCAGCTAATAGATGTATACATATCCATATATCTATCTTATTTCCATATTTCCAACTCTCTTGATGAAGGTATGAGAGACAGAGAGATGAACTCAAAACAACTTTTTTATAATTTTAATGCTTTTTTAAAAAATACAACTAGGAGAGGTCCAAGCAGCATCTCTCATGTAGGACAGGAGTAATGGACATTCCCCCTGCAAACACATACCTATTGCCCCGGAGGAAATCCTATTTCTCTGTAATGTCAGGAAATTCCATTAGCTCCATAAAGACTTTGTTCCCCAGTTCTGGAATAGACTCTTTTGCTGAGATCACACAGGGAAAAGGGTTAAACTCTGACTCCCAGTTTTTGCATGCCTAACGTTACTCAGGCTCCCATGGCAGCTATTACTTTTTAAAGAAATGTATACTTAATTACATTCATATAATTAATGCTGTTTCTCCTTTGGCCAGAGTCCCTGGTAGAATGAGCTTTGTAAGAATAATGATCTCCAAATTGCTTTAAGCTCTGTTCAGTAAAAATAACTGCATGCTTTGCCTGCCTACATAAAATCCACAAATACATTTAACAATGTAGAAAAGGCATTCCAGGGAAAAGGGTGGGCTTCAAATGAAGGCTCAAGAATAATCCTGGGATCCTCAAATATCCGTTCTCTCTAACTTGTCTACGGTAAGCTGCTATCTGCTCTCAGTTTTAATGGCAGTGAAAATGGGACTATACTTAACAATGATGCATTACATTTTAAAATCTTGGGGTCATATTTTCAAGAGAAAAACAGCTTAGGGCTAGTCTGAAAATGAGAAGTGATAGAAGGCAGAAGTACTAACTGTAGGATAAGCACACCTGTCATAGTGATGCACACACACAGTTGCTTTTCACTCTAAGGAACAGTTTTTAGTTTTGTTAAGTTGTCTGAATATAACAGGATTTGCCTTGAAGGATCAGTGAGATGGATTCATTCATGCAAAATACCATACAGCACTTACTTCCTGGGACTCAAGGCAGTTTACAATCAGACAAAATCTATGAAGCATGAATAGCCTTGGGGTGTTGCTGGCTCGTGTTTCCAGCCTCCAAGCCTACCTCCTTAGCAAAACGCCAGGCCGAATCTTATTTGCTGTTCTATATCCAAATGGCCCCAGTGCCTTGGAAAAGAGGAAATTGTTCTGAGTAAGGGATCCTCTTCAACTGGCTGTGTAAAGAAACTGAGCAGCAGGGAGCCCATCTTGCATTTCTCCCCAGGCTGGAGCAGATCACTTTGTGCCAAAACCCTTTTATAGCTTAAGTCATTTGTTATGCCAGACTGACAGTCTGTTAAGCCTTATCAATGTGATCCAGGATCTTGAAAGAGCAAAGCCTCTTGTAATTTTCAGTAGTGGTGTTTTTTTGTAGCAGAAAACAAAAACCGCACAAGTTCTCCTGCCAATTTCTTCCCTGTATTTCTTTTCCCCATGCCTCACTCCTCAAATCCTACTCTTATCTCCTTTTGGCCCTCCATTGCTAGCTTAGTAAATAATTGCCTCTTTTGGGATGTTAACAATAATGGAACCACCTCTGAAGAGCAAGCCCAGCCTAGAATAGCTAGAGCAAGAATTTAGAGAAAATATCTTCATTTTTCAGGATAAAAGAACAACAAACCTCAAACCTATCTTTGAAATGCAGGTTTCCCCTTCATATAGGTAGGTAAGTAGGTAGGTAGATGTCCACATGCACACACACATAACCAGAGACATTCCCATAAGCGGAATTTGTATTAAATTGGCAGCTCTCTCTGGGCAGAGTACAGGATCCAGGCTGGAGTACTGAAATCTTGTTGCCACTATGCCAAATATTTGTATATGCCACTGTTTCTTATAAAATGTGTCTTACTAGTTTCAACTTCTGTTTCTATTTTAGTCTGGAAAAGGCCTGATGACCCATTTGAGCATGAGACAGGTTCAGCTACTCATGCTTTAGCTTGTATTTAGGTGAAGAATGGATGCTTTGATCCTCCATTTTCATGTTGATTTGGACAGTATGTAGTAGCTGACTGCAAAGGGAAATAAGATGGGACCCTTAAGTAAATTTTAACATCTCAGCATAAGACAGTTGAATACGTCCCTGCCTTTATGTATAGTTGTTCGAGGTTTCTGAGATTCTGTTATTTAGCGCTGCCTTTATGAGGACACTGTGGAAAATGGGACCTGCTTGGCTTTCTGTTGTTTTGATGGAAAAGTTTCAAAGATTCTCCTGGCTAAACTTTCTCTTTTTTCTCATAGGGCTATTTGAGGCCTGAATTACTGGGAAATGAGTTTACCTACCTCGAATTTCCTCGAAGGATACAACAGAAGGAAGTGGGAAAGAAGATGTTATATAGGGACCAAAACATGAATGGCTGGTAACTTCTCTTTTCATTTGAGTTAAACCATGCTGATTCTCAACACCAATCAGAAAGACAAGATAATTTGTTTCTATCATCATAGCCAGTTCAGACGCTCCAAGGCCGCCTTCTTGCTTCCTTTCTGACATGAAACTAAGGTCTGAGATAAGTGAAGATTGTTTGAGGAAGATTCCCAGTGATACAATATTTCCAACAACAACAACAAAAAAATCTGTTTGATTAAGAAAACAGTGGGAGGAAAGAAGCATATATATGTTTACATGGGCATACATTGGGGAAATTACATAAATGAAATACTGCTGACCTGGGCTGTATTTTTTCTAGCTATAGGTAGAAGAGATTCACTAGAGCATTTTCTCCTTCAGCAATTGGAAGTTTTCTAAATCTAACATATCTGAGGGGATGGTAACCTTCTGCATGGCCTTTTATTGTATATGTTTCCTTTTCTAACTAGGGCATATAAAAGGATAGAAGAAGATGACGTGAAGTTTCCACTTGTATATGGAGAGGGTAAAAAAGTAAGAGCTAAACCAATATGGAAGTCTTTGAGCAGTGGAGAGCTGTTCATTTTCAGTAAATAGAATGTTAGATTAAACAGATATATGGGGGGTAGGGGGAGGTCTGGTTGTGGGATAATGGAATTGGAACCAGGTTATGCAAATCTTTGTCACTGAAGTTCAGTTTGATGAAACTTCAATTTGATGTCTCATACTGACTTCTTGAATCCCACTGAATGATTTGATTCAGATGATGAAAAGATTTGTACATGCCCTGAATATATTTTGTTTCAGATCAAATCCGTCCTATTCATATCCTAGGATTAACCCTTTAAATTGATCCAATTTGAATTGTTGAATCAATTAATTGGCTTGAAACCAATTTGCACAGGCCTAATGTTCAGATCTCATATTATGTTTGCTTTGAAGGATGTTTGTCTGATACCTACTGAGCCTTGCATCCTGAGGCCTTGGGTTCTTGGAACTCTTGCAATAATTTCAAAAACTTCTGAGAGTTTTAAGTCTAGACTCCTGGTAAGAGGAACTTACTCCTCCTCCAGTAGCCTGTTGAGTTGATGCAGAGGGAAAGAGGTAGAAGAAGGATGGTGGAAAGGGAAGAAGAGAAGGAGTTGTGCTACTTGCTTCCTGCTATGCCCTCAACAAATAGCTATCTTTATCTCACCCACAGTTCGCCTGTGGTCTCCAACAGCCTACTGAAAGTGAGCCTCAACAAGAACAAGAAAAGATGTGGTATTAGAGCAGGATACACAGCCTATTTTAGACAGGAACCACACTTGGTTTCCAAGTAGCACACTGAGATCCAGATTGAAAAAAAAATGGGTAGAGCCAGGACAAAAAACTAAATCACATTCATTAGATTAGTTCATATAATTATTCCTTACCTATTTAATATATTCCCTTCTGTCATATTAAAAATTAAAATTCAGTGGCAAATGTTGGAGAGGATGTAACGATTACATCCAGCGTTTTTGGGGTAGCACAATGTGATCCTTAGGCCTCAGTGCTGTATTTAAAGGCCTGTAAGGTATATATCCATTTTGTTTAATCACTCAAGTCTACAGTTGTTCCAGTTTATGAAAAATGTAATACAATCTTAAATACCAGTTTTATGTTACAGTTTTAGTGTCAGCAATTTTTTTTTTTTTTGAATGGGATTAATGTTTTGGTACTAAATAGATGCATCTTGTTTATGGATTGTTTGCATTTTTTACTGAAGAAATGAAATGGGGAACAATGAGCAACTTAAAATAATACAAGTATTAAGAAGAAAAATAAATCTGGGAAAAATAAAAGGAAAGGAAAGTATATATGTGAATACATACACAGTATTATCTTTAAGGAGTAATATAAAACTTTAAACATCTATGTTTAATATGGCTTTCCCAAATGACTTTTTGGAGCTGAAGATAGTTGATTAAGAAAACATGGTTAATAAACTAAATATATGGTGACCAGATCTGAATACATTTTTCCTTCATGATAGAGTTTCTTAATGCTTTTTTCATGCTTTGATTTTGTAGATAGAGCAACTTTTCAGACTTTTAAATACCATTAATCCAATGAAAGATATTTTAGTCTCCCAGTGTTTTGCACTAACAAACCTTATTTCTAACAATGTGGATTGAGTAAGTGTCTTTGTATTGCATCAAGTTTTTGTCAGCTACTTGTATTTCTAATTAGGCTCGAATGATGGCAACCATTGGGGTAACTCGAGGCTTAGGAGACCATGATCTGAAAGTTTACAACTCTAACATCCACATTAAGCCTTTCTTATCTTGCATTCCAGAGGTGAGCACATCGGAACTAATAGTCTGGTCCTGGAGTTACATTTACATTGTGTGTGTGTGTGTGTAAACAAAGCTGGAGGTGGACGGGATTTGAAAACTATGGAACTCAACTAATGCAACTCTTTACATCAGCGTCATCTTCCACATTTACTTATTATTTAGTCATGAATTTCAGTCCTCAGGTCTTCTCAGGTGGGCAGGGACAAAAAATGTGGACACTTTCTGGCACAGGGGGTTAAGGTGCAAAATGTGCTCCTTAAACCAGAAATTTAAATCTGCCACAAATGCAGATAATCTGGTTGCAAACTTTGGTCCCCACTACATCTGATAATGTCATGACATCTCTCCCTATGCCCCCTGTGGCCCCCTGGTGTGAGAGAAAATCCTAAATCGGTTGCCCTCCCCTGCCTTAAAGATAAGCTTCCCCTTTGTTGTCTGTTTTAAGGACAATATATTGGAATGTTTGTGTTTTCTTTCTGATACAAAGTATGTTCTTTAATTGTAAACTACTTCAGGATTTCTTTTAATGGGAAGCAGCATAGAAATGTTTAAAATAAACATAGTCCTTTTATGAGGTATTCATGATCTCTGGAAAGTTCTGGGCATGTCCATTGGGAGAAATTTAGGAGAATTGTTGTTCCACTGGGAATCTTCAAACAAAGTTATCTTTAAAATACTTTCCCATTTTTATTAATCAGCCAATAAGGATGGAGAAATCTGTTCCATTTTCTCCAATATTAAGTTTTAAAAACCCAATAACCTCAAGTTCTTTCTTCCCCATTCATGTTTTTGGTAAGTTCAAACCTGTGGGAATTCCTACCATTTTTAATGGGCAGGTTCATAATGATAGTGGTCCCTTAGGTATCTTCTTTGCAATGCAGATTCATAGCAACAAAGCTGCATCTTTGTGTTTATCTGCAGGTGCACATTTATGATCTCACCCAATATGAGCACTGCCCTGATGATGTGCTGGTGCTGGGCACTGATGGCCTCTGGGATGTTACTAGTGATCAAGAGGTAGCCACTGTGGTTGTTGATGTACTGATGGGCTATGAACCCAATGATCCTTGCAGGTGAGTAGAGCAGTATTTCCTTTCTTCCAAGTGTTGGGAATAACACTATTCACTGGCTAGAATCCTCCTTTCTGAAATTCTCCCTTACTGTCAATTTTAGTTTGTGCTTTTTGTTTTGCTCACCATCGGGACACCATATTGAATTAAGTATGTAACTTGGAGGAAATTACATTTTGTATATAAATGTATATACATTTTACTAACTAAAAATCAAAAATAAGGGAGGGAGGGAAGAAGGAAAAGAGAAAGAGAAAGAGAAAGAGAAAGAGAGAGCTTCTAGAGTCTGCAGCATTCAACAGGGGAGAGGGGATGTTCCCTTAATCTCATTCAAAATTCTATTCAGTACTGTTTTCAAGGTTACTCACATATTTAGGACTTCACAGATGTAATTGCAACTGCTTGGCAATGTATTTTTGAGAAGAAAAATAGGCGGATGAAAACATTAATCAGCTTTCTTCCTCACTCCCAATCTTCTACTCATGACTGCAACCTTCCATGACTTTTTTTTTTTAATCTGAAAGGTTTTTTTCCAGCTTTTCATGTTATAAGCAGATCAATAAATGGGTAGGTCTCTTTCAAATATTAAAATGGAAACACTTCTTACTGCTTGTTTGTTTTAATTATTTATTTGCTTATTAGACTTTTGATTCTGCTTTTTGTAAAAATACATAGGCAATTCACTGCAGAGGCAGTCTTCATCACTGGCTACTTTTAATAGCTCACATTTCTGCAAAGCCTATGCTATACATGGGGTTCCCTCCACTGTCACCTTGCAACTGTCCTCTGCTGAAATGAATCAAGTATTTTGTTTCATGATATTGTAGAGGTTTGGACTCAGGTGTCCCTGAATGAAGTCCAAATATTTCAATCCATTTTACCACAATTGTTTCTGATTATTTTTGCTGATAACTATTTTCTGGTTGGGGTCTACTACCAGCATATGTTAAAATCACAAAAGAGGATAGCTTTAAACCATTCTTTTTTTTCCTTCCTCTTCACAGTCAAGCAATAAAGTTATTTTATTTTATTTATTTATTTATTTATTAAATTTTTTCAACCACCCATCTCCCCCCAATGGGGGAACTCTGGGCAATTCACAACAAACATTAA